CTTCTTGTTACTAGTAGCGATGCCAGGAGCCCCTAGTAGCGTCCTTGTATATAATTGCACAAAAAGACCTGTAGTGATTGAGGTGAGCTGCAGAGCCAAAAAAGGATGGTCCAAAATCCAAAGGCAAACACTAATATGATGTTCAGATTGTTGAGCCACCAGGTCCTCTCCAACGCGCCTGCAGCAATGCGTCTTTTGCCGCAAGGCGCTCGGCCTCCCCTTCCTCAGAACATGTAGTTTTGGGTGGAAGGATGGGTGGGTGGGTGGGTGGGTGAGTGGGTGGGTGCTTTTCAAGTCATTACTTGTCGTTTGTAAGTTTTTGAAACCTGACGGACTTGTTACCATAAGTGTAAGTGTGTGTGCGTGTTGTTGGATTTGTTCGTGTTTTCCACAGTTTGGAACGGCCTTTTTATGCAGTAGAGGAAACTGGAAAGCCTGCTTCCTCTCAAATACTTACTTGCAACACCCAGAAAACGAGGAGAAGCTAGCAAAAAACCTCGGGGAAATCTGACGCGCCAGATTTCTTCGCTGGTTTCCACAACAAAATGGTAGCCCACGTCGTCATCTTCTTCACGTCACTCTTTTGCGACGTCAGAGTCCAACCGAAGTATATCAAAGAACAAATGCACAACAAAAACGTCAGAGTCCAACATGCACGGAATGTTCTAAACTCCAATGCCTCGCATCGTCGACCAAAACGGAAGAAGAACTGCAGAACCGCCGCGGCCCCGACGTTGGAAGCGGAAACTGCGCGATCCGAGCTGGTCACGTCAACAGTTTGGGGCTTCACCTGGCCAGTCCATCGAGTGCGAATCCATGAGTACAGAAGCGTAAATAGAATCTGCCAGTCTCCGAGCCAAGACTCTAGAGGGGTGGTGCTGATTGCAGCCTACGATGTTCGATTGAACTCATGAAAGACATGCGCAACCTGGGCGGTTTAAAAGAATCCAGGATAGTACGAGCTGGCTGTCCAGCCGTGAATGGCTGCTAATGATCTACCAGGCTAACGATCTGCCAAAGTCCTGGCTGCTTTGACCAGATTGGCACGATCTGCGAAAACACAGCCAAATTGGTCACCCAACTCCCATCAACTCCCTGATCTGCTGTGCCCATTCGTACCTGTGCAAACGTCAGATGCCCAACGAAGAGCGACAGGAGGCCCTCGGAGTCGCTGCGATGTGGAGTGGGCCAGAACAATCGCCTGAAATCTATGGGTACCACCTAGGAGCGATCGGACGCTACTAGGAGCAAAGGGCATCGCTACTAGGAGCAAGGACCTACTAACTAGGGGGCCCTGGCCTTACTACTAGGAACAAGAAACTACAAGTTCAATGCTGCAACAAGCTGTTGAAGATGGACACGGTTCACTGTCCTCCCAAAACAAAACTGAAAGTAACAGTAACATGGCGAGCAATGCATAGTGCCAAGACAGAACTTCCAACCGGTCTGGAGTCCCACGGGTCAGGGCCCCAAGAGCTGTTTTTTGCGGAAACAGTTGCAGTGCTGTATTGCAGTGTTGGAGTGGCCTTTTCCATGGCCTTCATTGCCTTGTGGGGTCTTTAGAGATCTTGGTTGAAGGTCTAAGAGCCCAAGTGCCTCAAGACTTTTGGAAAGAAACCAAGACATCTAAGACACATCGGCCGTGCCAAAAAAGAAGATGTGTCTGATGTGTCCAAATCTGAGAGCCTCCCTTTTGCCACAAGAAGTTTTAAATGAAACAGTAAAAAATGAACTTAATTTTCTTGCTATGGCTCTTCTCCGTGCCTCGGCAACAGGAGCTGGCTGGCTACATGACTCACAACAATTTGGTAGACTGTGCCCTCATCTCATTGCATGCTGAGTCCCCCAGGCGCATTGAAGACCTCGCAAACGGCCTGTGCTTCTTCCCTCTACAATCGAAGGTTGATTGGGTACTTCGACATGAATCTCAGCGAACTATTGTTTCCGGGGTATGTGGCAAGGATGGGTTGTTGAGCAAGAATGCGATTTCACAGTGCTAGGCATCATCAAGTGACCTCCAGCAAATATTTCAGAAATCTTACGGGTCGCCTAAATAGGCAAGAGACACCCACTCCACGGAAAGTGGTTTTGTTATTAACCTGGCAAGAGCAGTGTGAACAATACACCATGTTTCCGGTACATCAAGTAGACTGGGCGCATACTTGCGTCCTGCGAATCTAGAGCGAAGTAGCATCGTTTGCCATTCATTTGCTAACCTCCGCGAAGGGATAGGGATAGGGAAGCTGTTTGAGGAGAAACATTCATATCCGCCGACCCCGGCCTATAGCCAAAGCCTAGGCGGGGAGGCGCCTGGGACACCGCAGGGTGAAGCAGTTGGCCAAGCCTTGCAGAACCCTTCCAAGCACTTCCAAAGGCATGTGTGCAGGTGCATTGTGGTTGGCCGCGGCCTCTCGGTGGCCTGTCCGAGGCCTGCCTCTCCTCTTGTTATGGGCTTTTCCGAAAGCAACGTTAGACACCCACGGGCCCCGCCCTCAAACCCTCCTCGGCAGCCGGCAGGCCTGCCGCGGCCTCTCTGTGGCCTGTCCGAAGCCTGCCTCTTCTCTTCGCCCACGGGCCCCGCCCGCAAACGTTCCTGCAGGCCGCAGCTTGGCCCAGAAAGCTTTTTCTATGGGCTTCCGAAGGCAACGTTAGACACCCACGGGCCCCGCCCTCAAACCCTTCTCGGCAGCCGGCAGGCCTGCCGCGGCCTCTCTGCGGCCTGTCCGAAGCCTGCGAAAGCCGGTCTTATTCGCGGTCGCTTTCTATTTCGTCGTGTCGTGCTTGCTCTCCGGAACTCGCCAGCTTTTTGTCGGGCATTGTTTTCCTGAAGGTGTGTTGTGTGTGGCCTGAATGCGCCCAAAGAGCAGCGTTGACCAGACCACACTGTGGCACGCGGGGCACCTTTGCGGATGCTGGCGTGTCTGCGCGCAAACAGTGCCTTCTTTGACGTAAAACTGGTTGCCGCACACGGTTCGGTGATCTATTCGCCCTGTTTTCAGATTGCTTGCAACGTGCCCTTTGCAAAATGGACAAACATAGTCACACTTCCTCGCGGCAACGTCTCCGTCTTTGACGCGAAAACGATGCCCGCATGCACGGCGGCGATCTATTTGGCCTGTGCGCACGCTGCTGCTCACCGACGCCGCACAAAAAGGACACGCATATTGGAACATTTCCTTGCCGGCTTTCCGTCCAGGCAACTTTGCCGGCGCTGCGTTTGTCTCCTTCGCGGCTCTCGCCGTGGCCTGCGTATCTTGTTGCGGTCTGGCCTGCGTGTCTGCGCGTTGATCGTCGTGCGTTGTAGGCCCGCCCTCTGTAACACTGTTTCGTGGTGGCGCCGGCACTGTCCTGGCGTTGGTGTTTGTGCACGTTTGGGTTTCGGTTGGAGCCAGACCCTTGTCACTTTCGTGTTCCCTTTTCCGTTTGTGGTCTGTGCGCGCTTGGCTGCTCCCCGACACGGTTTTCGCAGGCTTCCCTACAGGCACTGCCTGTGCTGTTTGCGTTGTCTGTGTGCGGGGGTGGGTCTTGGTGGGCGTCGGCTGTGCTTGCTTGTCTTGTTGTGGTTCCATGTGTCTTTTGCGCAACGGCATGGTCTCTGTTGAGACACTTTCTGCTTCAAGTTCCGTCTTGCTTTGGGCCATCTGCCTTTCTTTTTTCCGGTTCGGCTCCTGCGCCCGGGGAGCGAGCACCTCATCCTCGTCTTGCTTCTGTCGCACGCGGTCAGCGATCTCTTCCCGTACAAGACCTATGACTTGCTGTCTCTTTTCTTCGGCTACTTTCGTCCTCGTAGCAGCCAGGCGCCGTATGGCTCTATGAGAGACACTTCGTGGCAACTGCTGCCCGTGGCAGCTGTAGACCCGTGCCTCCGCCCGGGCAGGCCGTCCTCTGCGCCGCGCAAGTCTGTTGTCTGCGCGCTGCGCCCCTGCGCGCTTGGCCACGCGCAGGACACATGCGTTGCAACGCTGCGTCCCGTTTTGCGGTGCAGCGCGCTGCCTCGACCAGGCGCTGAAGTCATGGCGCGCCTTACGTTCCGCGCACACGGCGCAGCGCCAGGCACCCTTGACTTTCACGGCGCAGTCCCTGCAGACACGTCGGTCTGCGTTGCGCCCTTTCCATGCGGCCGCCCCGAACGCACTTTCCGGCTTGGCCGTGCCGCACTTGTAGCATCGCTTCTGTGCCTCGCACGTCTGGCACACGCGGTAGAAAGTGCATTGGGGGCGCGCGTACATTGTTGCAAAGGCGTCTTCCTGCTTCCATGCCTTGCAACTTTTGCATTGCCAGGGCGTGTTGTTGGCTGCGTAATTACGCACGCATTCTCTGCACACACGTGCGTCCGCGTCCCGTTTCCATTGCCCGGCGCTGTACCCGCTTTTCGGTTTACTTTCGTGGCACTCGCAACACACTTCCTCCTCGCGGTGCCGCGCGCGCAACGTTGCCCAGTCGATGCTCTCTCCGCGCCAGGCCTGCAACAGCAAAGCTCTCCCTACGCTGCGTCCTTTCTGATAGGGTGCAGCATCGAAGGGTCTGTATATGTGTAATCCGTGTCTATCTTTCACTCGCGTCACAGCGATGTATGCGGTCAGAGGGTCTCCGCCTTCGCCGATCTGCATGTCCGTGACCGCCCCTTCTGCGTAAGTTTGGCCCTGCGCCGCGTGCGCAGTCGTGGCAAACCCGGGAGCCAACGGAAATTGCCGTCGCACCACCCGCAGCATGGGCCGCTTTCGGCCCTTGTCCAGATGCCACGCTTGCCGTTGGAGCGTCACCGGAAACACGTTGTCCGTGGCTAACCCCTGCACTCGCCACTGGGACTTGGTCTGGAACCGGACAAAGACACAAGTTGGGAGCTGATTCCAAATATGTGTCGTACTCCCTGCTTCTGTGCCCGCTGCTTCATGCCAGCTCCATCCAGCAACTGTGCCAGGACATCCCTTCAGTATGCCTCTGCGGCGATCCAAGTGATCGGTTGCCGTGACAGGCATGCCGATGCACAAGGGCAAAACCCCGTACAGCCCGCCGCAGTCCTGATCGTGACGTTGCAGCCATGTCAACTTGTCTTTGCCCAAGTCCGGTTTTTCTTGCAACGCTCGGCTGGAAATTGTGTCTTTTGCAATGGCATATTTGACCTCTTGCCGGTGCTGGCGTGCCCAGTCTAGTGCCCGCAGCTTGTTGCCCAGTCTAGTGCCCGCAGCTAGTCGTGGCACTTCCCCCAAAAAAGTTCCGCGCGGTGGTGGCAATTGCCATAAATCCCCTGCCACTAGTACGTTCAACCCTCCGAAGGGCTGCGCGTGCGCGCTGCCCGGGGCGTACTTGCTCTGCGCTAGATCGCGCACTAGCTCTCGGCATCGTAAATCCATTCTTGCCAGCAGCTCAGCGCTTACCATGCTGATTTCATCAATGATCAGCCACCGCCATTGCACGGCCTTCGCACTCAGGTCGAGGAACTTGCTTCCGCTGATCTTGTCGTCGGACGCGCCTTGCCAATTTAGGCCCATCGCGTGATGAATGGTATCGCCGTCCAGTTCCTTGGCCATCACCGCCTGCAGCGTGACGACGTGGTATTGCGAGCCATGCGTCCACCCGGCGATACCTTCAAAGAGCTCGCGACGGATCAATTTCAACGTGTGCGATTTACCCGTGCCGGGACCCCCGTGCACGACCCAGCGCAGTGGCTGCGGACTGGCGCCGTCTTCTGCCAGCAGCTCTGCTCTGACCTGTTGCGCGACGCGCTGACAGAGTTCGGCCTGTTTGCGGTTGCATTTGCCGTCGGCGACCGTGCTGCTCCACCGGTCGATTGCCGCCAGGGTTTCCTGCAACCGGCCGGGCCGTCGCGTCACGCTCGGCTCTAGTTTCGTCTGCGTTGCGTTCCTTGCGGGGGCCTCCGCCGCGCGATGCAAACCTTTCACGATGCCCTTCGTGTCCATTGTCGCATATGGGTTTCCCACTTCTCCCGGCACACTCTTCGATACGCCGCGGCCACCCCAGTGCTGTTCGGCGCGCTGTAACGCGTCCACGAGCAAACGTCGATGTGTGGACCACTTGCTTTCTTTGTGGTTGTCTTCTTCCACTGCCACATGTGTTTGGCAGGCTACGCCTAACAACTCTTCCGTCACAACCAGATCTTCATTGTCGTCCTCGTTGTGCTGCAGACAGGTCAGACCCACAGCGCTGGCAATCGAACGGGAGCCGGTACGGGACTTGCACGTCCACATTTGCTCCGCGTAGACTGGCTAGCATTGCTGGGTGACAGCAATTCAGCCACTCGCTTTGCCATTCTCCAGGAATTCTTCTGCTTGCCATTCTCCAGCCACGCAGATAGACCTGCGGCCGT